TATTACGAATTTTGCAAAATGGTATAGGACTTTTCTATTCAGTTTGCCCCGGTCTATCTGCCAGTTACGGGTGATACGGGTATTTGGAAACACCCTGTATATAATTTTATTTAGATAACAGCAAACACTGGTAACGTATAACCAGTGTTGTGTATAGATGATTTTAAAATTAGCTAGATAAAGATAAGATAAAAATATATAAATTTATCTTAGATAAGATAAAGATGATTTCGTTTTGAATATATCTAGATAAAAGATAAAATTATGTGATGATTCATCTAGATCATTTTCAGATAATATTTTTAAGACTTCATGTAAACGCAGAAATGCATGGTCTACAACGCCATTCATATTTAAATAGTGTAACTGTTAAGTATTTTTATGTGGCTAACCTTATGTGGCCCTAAACCAAATTATCTGTATGTTATCTTAGATAATTTAATAAAAATAACACTTTTTTCATCTAAGATACAGATATAGATAATACTTATTTTTATTATCTATATAAAGATAAGATAACGCTAAATTTTATCTAGATAATTATCTATATAATTTTATTTATATAACAGCAAACACTGGTAACGTATAACCTAACCTAAGCGGACAGAAGTCAGTGGACACAAGTCTCAGATATTATTTTTGAGATTGTGTTGTGCGCAACTCGGAAAGCGTATGATTTCATATTATTCCCCAATGCTAAATAGCGCAATGTCATTTGGAGCCGTCCATCCCGCGTCCACGGGACCGCACCATTACTTTTTAGCACCCTGTAGATCCCAAAATGGCGCGCTCAGCTGTTCCCCCCTTTCGTTCTTCTGCCTCAACCCCTCGCCCTATTATTTCTCCCTCCATTTCTCTCCCCCCCCCTCTCTCTCTCTCTCTAACCTGGTATACGTAAAGGAGAGGAGGCAGACCTGTCAAAATTTTTCTCTTTTTTTTAAAAGTAATATAGAGTTTAGCACTCGCCACAGTCATCGTCTGTACATTCGGCGACAGCGGAATTGGAATGGAGCTCGCGATGTTCGCCGGACTGGGCCTCCGCTCGTAGGATACAGTTCCAGCCTGCACGATTCGCGCCGCCCCTCTACCAAGCGGGCTTTGAATTTCCAGCGCTTCCACGAACGGAGCGCGGCTTGCAGTGCTTGCACGTTGGCGTGGGCGCTGCGTGAGAGTCGCCCGAGAGAATTCAACGATGCGAGAGGATAATTAAACGAGGCGTCACTCGCGCTCTCGCCGCTAGCCGTTTCGTAGGGTCCGGTGCGACAACAAGTGCGGCTGGGACTCGCGGTCGAGCTCGCCTGTCATGGAAAACAAGAGTAGCAACAATTTCATTAGTTACGTGGGACTGGAGGACCACGAGCTGCAGGTAACCGCGAACGGTCTCTCGGTAGATCGCCGGCGCGAGCGACGAGAGACGCGCCCGGGCATCGCTGATCGACGTTAACCTCCTTGCAGACCTTCAGCTCCAGTCGGCGTAATTCGTTGATCGAGCACAGCGTAAGATTATTGCCGGGGGAGGTTCTTATCGCCGAGGCGCAAAGTGTCCTTATGTTCTCGCCCGTCAGCGACCTGAACCAGGGCATATCTGGCGTCCTGTCGGTGACCAATTTCAAGCTCACCTTCGTCACCAGCAGCGACTCCAACAGAGAGGTATAACAATTTTTTCTTTCAATACAGGCATTCGAATCTCTGTGCGACTTGTCGAGATTTTCAAGGATCCGCGTTACAGAATGTCACTCGGCAACAAAACCACTTGTACGGATACACGGACACTTGTTTGACGAATATCGACGAGATTTACGTGACGGTGGGCGACAAGAAGAGAAAGCTAGTCCCCGGCAGTGCGGTACCGTCGAAAGTCAAAGGGATATTCATCATCTGCAAAGTGAGTTCTCTTTTACAACCCGGTCGGCAAAATGTCAGCAAATTGGCAGCAGATTTGTCAGAGACCAACACCAAAGCCATTTGGCTTTTGCTGCGGCAACAGAGTCTAAAGCGTACGCCATCGACACATTGTCGGAAGAAACCGAGCAGATCCAGTTGTGTGAATTTGGTTGTATTTCTGCCGACATACAGCAAACAAGTATCGGATATATCAGTTCTCGTATGCAATCTGCAGTCTTTCTGCCTTCAAAATTTGTAGCGGGCATTTGACAAAATCTGTTCCAACAGATTTGGCTATCAGAAAGGAGTGTGAATCGCCAGTGGTTGATTAACAGTGAGAAGAATTGTTACACGACTTAGGCTGGCAGATGTTTTATTTTATTCCGACGTTTCGGCCATGCGGGTTGTGGTCCTTTTCAAGGAATTAGATAATCTACAAGTTTCATTTTAACAAGTTTAGAGGACAATTGCGATTTGGCTATCTGGGAATGTACGGGCGATTTAAGTTTACATTAAGACACCCTTGTGTTATGTAAAGATACAGATGTCCGTTCTCTCGGACGTGATAAAGTTAGCTGGCGATTGTTTAAAAGCGACGAGCAACTCTGTTGTACGGTGATCGCGACGAGAATTACATGTTGCGTTATGAATTGCAGAATCTAAGGACGTGGTCGTTCTCCTTCAAATTCTCACCTCTCGGGCACGGCAAGAATCTTCTGACCGCGCTGCTACATCACGCCTTTCCCAGCAGGCACCAACTGTTGTTCGCCTACGATTACACGTTAGTGTCGTACCTTGGGCTCCAAGTGAAACGTTGCGTTTAAATTCTGCTGTTAAAGATCGCCGCTTCACCTCGGATTCAAGTGCTTCGCAATACTAATCTTTGTCTGATTGCAGAGAGGCCTATTACAGTAGTCTTGACAAGAATGTACAACTGTTTCGCGATATCGCGGACTGGCAAAACGAATTGAAAAGAACATTGCGCAGCGACGAGATAAGGAAAGGTTGGCGATTGTCCATGGTTAACGCCAAATTTCAGCTCTGTCCGAGGTAACTCGCTTGTTGAATGTAATTCATATAATTAACAAGCGTCGACGAGTCTTGATTGATCGCCGTCCATTTGCAGTTTATCGCAATATGTAGTGGTACCTGCGTCTGTGACCGACAGTCAGTTGACAGATGCAGCTAGACATTTTCAAGGTAATAGACCGCCAGTATGGTCCTGGACAAGTGCACACGGTGCGGCATTAGTAAAAATGTCTGAATTATTACCAACGATTACAGAGAGGATGCAGGAGAACATTATGTTTGAAAATGTCCGTAAAAGCCATCCTCAAAAGATACCTCCGGTTGTTATCGAATTGAATAAAGAAATTAATGTTAAGCTAGTAGCGGCAAGTTTCACTAAATTCATTAGCTTGTGCACACCAGGTAAATCTTCAAATCGATCGATATCTTGGCGTGTCCGATTGTCGCGAGGAGGAGGAATGTGTCTCTAAAGATGGACGTATTCGTTTCAGAGAACATCAGGCAGTTCTGGATTCAAGATAATAATTTTTACTCGCTGTTAGAAAACACAAAGTGGCTTAAATACATATCGTATTGCTTGCAAAAGACAGTTGAAGTCTGCGACCGCCTTAATTTAGGAATTTCCGTCATCTTACAAGGTAGTTGTTCAGATAATCTGTTCGCGAGTGCGACGGCCGTAGAGGAATGTTTTAACAGAGGCAATGTCAGCTTTACGATCGATGTTAATCGTGTGGAACGGAAATGTCGATAGTAACGAGTCGAGACTTCGGTTATAAACGAGAATCGTTTTTAGAAGGTGCTGCCAGAGACTTGTGCTGCGTTATATCGAGTTTAGCGCAACTGTCGCTGGATCATCACTTTCGTACTATAGCAGGTTTTCAATCGTTGTTGCAAAAGGAATGGGTCGCCGGTGGCCATCCGTTTTGCGATAGATTAGGCCACATCGTGAAAGCCAATTCGGAAAAGGTACGCATGGCATCCGACCACTCTTGGCTCCCAGCCTCCAACGATTAAAGGGCTAAAGTCTTTTTTATTTTCTTCGCGCAGTCCCCGTTGTTCCTCCTGTACCTCGACTGCGTTTGGCAATTGTGCCACCAGTATCCAACGGAATTTGAATTCACGGAAACGTACCTGACCACGCTGTGGGACGCAGCGCACGTTTCCATTTTCGACACCTTCATTTTCAACTGCGAGAGAGATCGGGCAGTGGCAGCTATGGTAACAGATCCTTACTTGAAATCTTACGTACCGAAAGCGTCGAGTCGAAGTAGCCCGAGCGTTACGTCTTGGTTTGTTTCAGGATCCCAACACGCCTCTGGTGCTTCGTAGCGTGTGGGACTGGCGGGAGCAGTTCAACGACCAGGATATCTTGCTGTTTTACAATCCTCTATTCGTTCCCCGCAGTGCCGACAAGACGGTGAACAGAGCGTCAGTTGTGAGACCTTTGCACGCGATCTCTAGTCTCGAGCTTTGGACGCAATGCTACTTCCGTTGGATACCGACACTCGAGATTCGTAACGGCGGGCAGAGGCACGTCGAGCTTTACATTAGGTTACTTCAGAACGACGTAAATCAACTTGGAATAAACGACAACCGCGTCTCGCCGGTGGACAAGGTCGGCACCTGCTCTCTTCACACCAACATCGACAGCTTCTACCCCTTTAGTAACAACAGGTCGGGGAACACCGTCAGTGCGCCGATCATGAACAGCTCGATCCTACTAAGCGAGAGTTTATTAGACGCGCAATCACTGATAACAGCGACTGATTGACAGAGTGCTGTTTCCACGGCATTCAAAACGCGTACCTGATTACACACCTTTTCCGTAGAAGCAACGCTTGGGAGGCTCTTTCGAAAAAGGGTTGTCGAAACGTTTGTAAAGGAAAGGGTAATTTCCAGGGGCAGGTATATACATACAAGTGTCGGACTCATCAGTGGCGTTTCCCAGCGCTCGATGTACTCCTGTAAACTTGTGTCGGATAATAGGAGCTTTAAAATACGCGCCTGCGAGAAATTCGTCGCGTCATTGAGAGCAGCTAGGGTTCTTTTTCGCGTGAAACGATAAAGATCTTTATATGTATATCTTGGCGAGTATTAGAAACGCAGTAATAGCGAGACGTAGAGGGGAGACGGCGTGATTTTAAGATAGGAAGAAAGAAGAAACGTGTACATAAATCTCAATGCGGATGAAAGGGCGGTGTCTTCGATTTTGTGTTCGGAGACACCCCCTGCACTGTTATGAATCGACAAAGTTTATAATTGAACGAAAAGTTTTTCGTTTAATATTTCGTAAGCGAATATTCAATGTATTGAGCGTAATATATATTTTTTTCAAATTGACGCAATTCAACCCTTGAAACACATCGTCCATGGCACCATGGATTTCTAGGGTAAGGAGGGATTATTTAACCCGTGCAGTTAAACGTGCAAATCAGATAAAAAGTTTTCAAAAAAGTCTGCCCTGAAATTTTTTTTCTCTCTAACTGATTCAAACGGTCCCTCCTTATTCTATATGCACTAATGAGACTATTCATTTCGTCGCTATTTTTTTTTATGTCGAAGCTAAAAGATGCCATCGCTTGTTACACGAATTCTGTTCTTTTTAACCGACCTCTCCGTTCATTTCTCCTCTCTTTCTCTCCACGCTGGAGGGAGAAGAAAATCACACGTTCCCACGCGAAATGGTTGGGTCAGTAACACCGCCTCGAGAATTTATTCTCGGTTCACGCTCTCTTGGGCGTCAATTCTGTATCTTACAATATGGTGAAAATGCTAAAAGCGAGCGGCTCTGTCTCTTTCTAAGGAAATAGAAACGGACAAGGCTACTCATTTTTAGCATTTCCACTGTGGCGTAAAATGCAGAATTGACCCCCTGTATCTTACAATAGTGAAAATGCTAGAAGTAAACGGTTTTGTCTCTTTCTGAGGAAACTGAGAGCTACTCACTTTTAGCATTTTCACTACAGTGTAAAATACAGAATTGACCTCGCGGTCTTTTTCACAGTGTATACTCGGGCGCGTAAAGTTCATTAACGCGCGCGCGATTCGATCGAATTTCTCTACGGAGGGACGTATCTTGTCGCGCTTACCCTAGTGGAAAAAATTTCTATAAATAACTACAAAATTAGTACAAAACTTTACAAAGATTTGAAAAACAAGATCTTAAAGAATTAAAACACCCGCTTACTTGCAGAATATTACAAAAATTAACGAGTGTTGCAATTCAAGCATTTTCATGTTGATTTTTATAACACTTTTTAAATTCACGTGGAATTCCTCAGATTCTGGCGGTTGTATTTTATTAAAACGCCTGCTTACTTGCAGAATATTAGAAAAATTAACGAAAGTGTTGCAATTCTAGCATTTTCATGTTGATTTTTATAACACTTTTTAAATTCACGTGGAATTCCTTAGATTCT